ATTTTGTTTTAAGTGACCAACAACCGATAAAACACTTTTTCGGGTTTCGATTCATCTTCTTGTTTCGGCTACGCGTGTTGTGCTGTTGGTTGTCGTCTGTCTGCTGGCCTCGTCCCTCGATCATCGGATCTAACGAGACGATTTATTGTGCCGACTAAGTTCAGTCTTCCGTCAGATTGCGCGACTAACTGACGGCCTAGCGAAGATCGTGCTTTACCTAAAGTCAGCTACAGCATTCTTATTTATAGACTGAGTTCTTATATGTAGTTAAGCCCTTGCCGTTTGGCCTTTCCACTACACGTACACGAAGATGCCATGAGCAGATTGACATCAGACAACTGGCGAAGCGAGCTGTTCTGAATGCGTATCGAACTACGCTGACACGCGGGTTGAGTAAGCGCTCACTGGAGACACTTGTAGGTCACTGGTCACATGTTCACCAGACCTTACTAGCATTAGGTAAATCCTCATGTGGTAAGTCTAATAGCCAAGATGATTACTGGGTCTCTTTGCGGGCTCTGGGACTTATCGGTGCTCGCCAGCATATTCTAACTGGAGGTGAACACAATAAAAATCACAAAATTCGCCGGACAAGTCTCCGTGCTGGCCTGAATAAAGGCCGCGAATTCTGGTGGTCTCTTCGTGCGTCAGAGTTGGAAGTGCCCGCTGCCCTTTTTAATCATCTAAAGTTGTTCCGTCTAGTACGGGAAATGGGCAGCAGGATACCTGGTGGTTGTGAAACAATTTATAACGAGGTCGGACGGCATATCCACAATTTGTCAAAACGTTTGGAGCGTTGGGCTGAGCATTATGAAAAGCAATTTAATCTGCCGGAATTGTTAGATTCCTCATCGACCAAGGATCGCCCTGCTCCCCGGGGCTGTCCCTTTGGATCCGCTCTCTTGGTCAGAAGTCAAACGTGACATCGGATTGTTGAAGTTGAACAAAGCCGCGGGACCAGACGACCATCCGCCAGCCCTCTTCAAATTTAGGACCCTGCTCTTGTTGATGATTTACACGAAGTACTATTGAAAATTGGGAGCAGCAAACTGTCCCTACCGACTGGAGCCGTTCCTTTATTGTTCCCACCATCAAAGGAGGCTCGCGTTCGGAATGCGGTAATCACAGAGGAATCAGTCAAATCCTCATCACCTCCAAATTAATTGCCTCTATAATCCTTCACCGAGTGACTGGCGCTCGTGAAATCCAGCTTCGTGAGGAGCAAGCCGGGTTTCGTCGGGGTCATGGCTAGATCGACCAAATCTACAATTTGCGTTAATTGTTAGAACACCGTCACACCTATCGGCGGCATACCATAGTCGTATTCCTCGATTCGGTTGATCGATGTGTCCTTTAAGACTGTCTACTCAGGAACGAGGTGCCCGAGAAATATCTGAATATTATCCAAGCATTAAATGCGCCTTTCACGGGAAGAATGAGGGCTTACGGCAAGCTGTCGCCGCCCTTCAATATCTTCAGCAGTGTGAGACAAGGATGCCCGCTGTCATCCTTCATTATCAACTTCGCTATTGACGAAGTCCTGGAATTTGCAGTTACAGGATACGACTTAGAAGGTATGGAGCTGCTCCCAGGAGAACGACTTCTTGAGATGGAGCATGTTGACGATATTGCTCTAAGTTGTGACAGTTCTCAGACGTGCCAAGCTGCACTGGAATGATTAGCACTGGCTGTCAGCCGCTTCGGGCTTCGCTTTGAACCATCAAAGTGCAAAGCTTTTCTTCAAGCTTGGCAAAAGGTCGCTTCCTGCGCTGACCCTTGATGGGGATCTGCTAGAAGTCGTACAAAAATGCAGATAACTGGGAATTTGTATCAGCGCCCTTGGGATCGAAGGTGAGATCATGAACCGTATAGCACAATCTCGAGGTGCCTTGTCTAATCTTCGCCACCTATGACGGCGGCGCGACATCACACACGCCTGAATTGCCGAGTGTACAATACAGCGGTACGTTCAACCTTACTGTGCTGTTGCGGAACCTGGCTCCTTAGATCAGTTAAAATAAACAGGCTAGTTACGTTCGATCATCGGTGCCTTCACAGTTTGGCTCACATCAGGCGAGAACACCACGTAAACAAATGAGCGTGCTCGACGCTTTGCTAATGGCACAGGGAAAGGAACTGAACGGCTCAGCACCGTTATTTCACGCAACAGACTCCGATGGCCTTGCCACGTGTTAGCCATACCAGCCCACCGGCTCCCGCGATGTGCGTTGTTTGCTTGCCCGGGAGTGTGGTTGGAAGAAAAGGATAGTTCGTCAAGCGATAACTTGGTCGAGAGGAATGAAGGCCCTCACTTCGTTACTGGCCTCAGTTGGAGTTTCACGGCTTCTTGGTTGGGGACCAAATGACGATGAACACGTTTGGCTAGATACACTTGCTGACATGGTTAGAAGCCGACCTAAGTGGCGTCCCTGTTGTGAGTTTCTTTGTTCCTGCTTATGCATTTTAGCCTCCACCTCCAACCACGGTCTTAGTTCGCAGCATAATATAGTGTTACCTAATTATACTTTTGTTGTCTCGTAGCCAGCTGGTAACTTTCCGGAACGATGCCAGTATTTCAGCTGGCATACAACGGTTGTATTTATTTTCCTCTTTTTCTTTTGTGTACTGCGGCACAGTAGCTGTGGTGTTTCACACCTCTAGTTAATGTATGTATATATACATATATATACATATACATACACATATGCATATATTTTATGCCATCAGAATCCTGGTGAAAAAGGAAAACAAGATCGAAATGAACAGGAAAGCACAAGCAACCTTTTGTCCGGATTCTTAAGCAGAGTTTTAAGTTCTGCTGATAGTTTTTGGTTTATGTTAGGAGTGAAAGGGTTTTACCGAAACACCCAAAGGCACGCAGCCGCTACTAACTTTGGTTTCGAACTCGTACTTCCAGGATCGCCAATCAGCGATACTTTGCATGTTTTTCACCGCATGCAGGGACTCAAGTAGGCCAGTTAGTCGGACAACTGTAGTAGTCAAACGCCTCGAGAAACTGGTGTGAGATTCACTGGAGAGTCATCTGAGTAGATTTAATCTACTTAGCAATGTACAACACGGATTCCTGAAGGGGTTTTCGTATTTGACAAATCTACTGGTGGCTTGCGAAAGTTGGTTGGATGCAGTGGATAACGGCCAGTCACTGGACGTGCTTTTCGTCGACTTTTCGAAGGCATTTGACAAGGTACCCGTTTCAGGCCCGCACAAAGGCTGATCTAGGGGTATCTAGTCGCGCCGTGCATCTTCCTGCGCATATTCTTACTTCGATTTTCTTTTGGTATTATGTACTTATTTCAAGCGCACGTCTTTATTCTGTACCTTCGATTTCTCTTCCTAGCATTTTCTTGCTTCACGTAAAGGATACTTTTAGGCCGTGGACGCAAAATAAGCATGTCATATCAGGCCAGAGATATTTCTTCTTTCGTATGATTCAGTGGTTTGACCACATTTATAACTGTATGTAAGCCTGTCAAACGACTCGCCGTGAAGCAAAACGTCCAAGCCTGAGACTCCAACAGAAATCTAATATTCTTGGAACACAAGCTCCTATGATATCTCGCGTCAATTAGAACCACTTACAAACATAGAACATATATCCTTGATATTTCATTTACGTCCAGCGTTCGACCTGCTTTCATGTTGATCTAAATGGATTGCATACGATCCTTCAGTTGGCCACTTGTAAAGATCGACCATTATTCAGAGTGTTGGCAAGAAAGTGTTTAGTCTGCTCGATGGCTAAACAAATACCATATAAGTGTGCCATCTTGCCACCACAAGTACTGGGCGCTCAACCATCAAAAATGCCAATTGTATTGAGAATGTGCAGAAACCGGCCACTCGAATAGTAGAAGGTCAGCGGTTAGCTAACAGGATTGTTATCATTGAAGAGACGCAGTTTAAGGGGGAACTAATTAGAAACATTTAATATTAGGCGCACTGCTATAGTTGAATAAGTCACATCGGAACCGTTTTGGGATTATTGTCTACAGTTGAAGTAGGAGTGGTATTGGACAGATATAAGACATAAGTTCTTCTCAAAGCGGGTAGTACCCAGTTGGAATAAACTCCCATATGCACTATTCAAATGTAGGACCCTGGATGGCTTTAAGCGATGCCTGGACGGAACCTGGTCGGCCCTCTTACCAGAAATCCTATGAGAAAGCACAACAGACACTAACCACATGCAATTAACTTATGCAATTTCGTGAATGTCGTGGATATTTAGATCGTTTTCTCTGTTTCTTCAGGATGTACGCAAACATCTGCTATCAGATCGGTTTTCTGGGGCTATATTCGTTTATTGCCACACGTAAAGGAAAGCTTGTAAGCGAAAGCTTGTTTTATTCCTGTGTCTTTTCCTGCCAATTCCTGAATGCACTTGTAGTAGTCTGGAGACGCCTCGGTTTGCCTGCGCAAAATTCATACTAAAATTACTATTTTATTTTCATTTAGGCGACCGGTGTGAATGATCGTACCGGTTGCGGAGTCGAGGGTTGCCGTTTTGCTAGGCGCTCGATTAGATTGCAACGCGAAATAACCTTGCGTGCTATGCAATATTCGTTACCCTTGCTAGCAGTGTTCAGCAGTGTCGTCTTTTATAGCTACACTAACAGGGAAACTTTGGCTGTACAAATAAATATTTTCCTCTAGTGCATTTTGTTTTTTGGTATACCCATCAGAGCTCCGGCTGAATGATAAACTATAACGAGTTGGTAGCAAAGCTGCGGTCATACAGCGCTCATCCATCAGTTTCTCTCACCCGTAGCATATTACCAGGGATTTAGTTTTCCTTTATCTCAAATACTTTCAACGCAGCTCTAGTCGTAGACGCTGTTATAATATATTATATTGACCGGATAAGGATATAGCAACTGCTTTAACAAACTGCCGATGTATACAAAGTTACATAGTTAAAATAACGGCAAAGCAATAATAATCTCTAACGGGAAAAGGTACGCAAGAAAGCGACAACGCACATTTCAAAAAGGGGAACCACACCATTTATCACTATGGAAACACAAGGCGCAATTAACCGTTCAGTTAAAAAACCAGCGGTTACAAGAGCATAGTGTTAAAAAGTGAAAAGCTAACGCCAAGTACAAAAATTATTTCAACTTTTAATTGCATGTACTATACTATAGTACTATGTACTATGTACTATATATGTAATATATGTACTATACTATAGTTATCGATATAGCAATTTTTAGTGTATGTCAGGTCAAGTCAGGGCAGGTTCCAAGGACGGTATAGACTTCCGCCTAACGCGCGTCCTGCACCGGCAAGCAAGCAAAGGCCCCCGGTACTTTGACTTTTAATTGCATTTCTCGCTTCTGCAAAGAAACCGAGTCAAAACGAAACAATGAGGTCCTTTTAGCTTTCCTGAATTCTCAATGGCTTGTCGCATTTAGCCATCCGGAGGTTTGTCATCCGATTGTGCATAGCGTGCTAAATGCTATAAAAGATTGGTTTTGTTTGCAGCTAAGATAATTAGGCAGCTTGCCTGTCGTTTGGAGGTTACCTTTGTTTATACACACTCGTTTGCAAGGCTACCCGAATGCTACAGTAAACTGCGTTCATTCCCTCTTAAACTGCCTTTTTTGAATGCCCGCTGGTTTGGCTAGATTGTACATTACGACAATAAAAATATATATATCACCCATATTTATGCGCCTTATTATTATTTTCATTGGCTTTTTGATTGTCGAATTTAGCACACCAATCGATCGCGATACAGTTTGTGACCCCGACTGTGCGTATTCGCAGTTAGTCCATTACTAACCTTTTCTGAACCTTTCCTTGTGCATTTTCTCTATTTTTCCATGTTGTACCTGATGGGTTTATTTTTGCTAAGCTTGCAACTTGTTTGCCAAGGACGTTATGCCCCTAGATTCCCATGCATTTGTAAACGTCGTTGAGCTTCCGATCCCGCCTTTTTGCGAGCGTGAACTTTTTGTTGCTCATGTCTGGTATGGTGTATCTCGCTAACTTCGAGAATATACTATTTATTTATTTATTAAGTTAATTTTCTGAGCTTCAGTCCAACTGTTCGTTGCGCAATGGCTGAGGTCAAGATTTACCACGACCTCGCATTATTCCCTCCTAGGTCGTCGATGATCTCGGTGACATTTTAAAGCATTCCAAAGTACAGGAGAGGTATGAGGGCATATAGACAGCCAGGTTACATGCAGATTAGCCGGTCCTACTGTGAGCGCGTCACGATGCAGATCGGGGTGTTTCGAAACCGTAGCAGATTTTGCACAAGTTACTGAACCTAGCTAGACGCCTCAACGTTGACGACTTGCTTCTCAAAGATATGTGGCTACGCCGCGTCCCAAGTGAAATATGTAACATTCTGGCCACTAACTAAGGACACCTCTTATGTATCCGGAGGACCTAACCCAAACCACTGATGCGGATCATCCAATACGAAAAATTCATTTCTCTTCTCACGCCGGATAGAAGTCGTATACAAAGGCGGTGTCACATTAAAAAATTCAAACAGCACAACCACGCTCGTTTTTATCCACAGGCATGCATACACACTAAACCCAGGGTTCCACGTGTTACCTATAAACTTGGGCCGCTTTTACGTTTACCTGTCCTTGTTATATAATCATCATCATGCCTAGTTAGGCGTTTCCTGCATTATCGAGGAAAAGCATTTACTTATTTAGTTATTTATGTTTTAGATCCACCCCTGTAGGTATTAAGCGGCATGGATTACCCAGTTACTTAGCTAACGTCCGAAGCACGTGCACGCCGTTAGTCACGGAAAATAACGTAGAGGAGCTATCGCTACTTGCGGTAAAATTCGACGGATCACTAGCTTCAGATAATGGTAGAATGTATCAATGCATAAAAACTTCTTTAATAACGATTTAAATGTCATTTGAGCTCCCCGTCTGTGCTCATTTCCGGATACTGGTACTGTAAGAGACTTAAAGAACTCACCTGTTTCGGTAGCCTATTTTATTCCTTCGTTTTCAACTGGTAGGGAATGGGGCCAGCTAGCACTTTTGGGCGATAGGTCCTGGTGATTTACGCAGGCGCAATTGCTTCTTCGCCATTCAGGAAGCAGGTGTGCGATACTTTTTAAATACTGCTGCCGACGTTTGGTTACTTTCTCGCGATCGACAATACCTAAAAGCCCTGCTAACGTGTCATTTCGTTCGGCAAATCAAACCATCGTTTACGTGACGGTCGACGCCGCTGAACGCCTACTTTGAAACTAACTCGTTGCTTTAATCGGGAGTTACACGTTGCATATGTTCAGACGCAAATTACTTGCTTCCCGTCCTGTAGCACTGTGACTTGTTATGAAACCAAATGCGCCGTCCTCTTACCCATTGCATATGAACCTGGCAGTTATAGGAGCATTGAATAACATCGTGTCAATTAATCCTGCAAACACCAGCTGTTGGTTAAATGCCAGGCAGCAAATTTACGAAAGTCGGCCGCGCAGCAGCACTGCTGCCAATTGGCTACTCGGGCTGCAAAGCCTCACCTTGTTACCAAAGTCTAGAAGTAGGCTTCAAGCAAGGTTGTATATATAACAGGCCTGTTATGAGCACTACCTTTTCCTCTGATTCTTCTGACTTCGTGGAATGTATGAAGCACGTACTTCCGTGACCTTTTGCCTTATTTTGTGTCACTGTAAATAAATAAATAGAGAAATAGCATGTTTATTCTCGACCAGGCGAGGCACACCTTTAAGGGGATGTTCAAGTTTAGTTAACATAGCGTGAGCAAGAATGTGTAAAATTCCACCTGTTTGCCATCACAATGGGTTTGTGTACAGGTGTATATACGTATGTAATAGTGTGGGCAGCTGTTTAGTTTGTGCTTGTAATTATGCTGCGCCATTCGTGACTTCTTGCTAGTGTCAACAATGTTAGGCTAGATGACTGATGTCCGTCGGTTGAAAATGAAACTCCGCATATTCACGAAGCAGTGACTTCGTTGTTTGGCTAGCCACACTCGTTACGTCACAACGTTGGTAAGCATACATTTGTGGCTTTTCATAGGGAGAACACTTTTCAAGCGAAAACCCACCACTTTCTGGGACACTACCGTGGAACTACTTGCTGGAACGGGTTTAACCTGAACCAACCAGCTGGCACCACGTAGAGGTTGTTCGGCCAGCCAGCCAACCATTTGGGTATTTAAGATTAACTAATAAGGCTTTGCTTGCTTTTAATCCTCTCTCCACTAGCAGCAAAATCGTTCGTTTGTTTTGCATTCGGTCCTCCGATTTAACTACTACCACTGCACCTAGACTCATCGCATCTGCATATATTCAAGCCTGCTCTGAGCACGCGCTTGATCTCTCCATCTTTGGTCTTCGAGGCAGAGTGAAGAAATTATTTTGGCTGCTATGTTGACTTAATCTGCGACTTCTTAGGTATGCAACTATTGACTGGAAGCTTTAATTAATACTGCGTTATAGACCACTGGTACACCCTATTTTAGACACAATATGCTTCGTTCCTCACTTCTGCACTAATGTTTAGCTGGGAATATCTGCATCATGATTCCTGCATCTCTGAATATATACCGTATCTGTTAGCAGCCTATCCTTTTCCTCTCCATCTTCTAACCTCGTATTGTGTATGAAACACATAACGTTCATGGTGTGGTGACTTATTCGGGGAAACTATTCAGCGACTAAATTTTGGAAGGCTTGGGAATTGCGCAGTAATGACAACTTTTATTCTCACTACTAACGCCATGGTCCTTTCTTTGTCTGGCAACCTGACCACCTGCATAGCTAAAAGGACGGAGCGTACTCTCCTAGCATCTACATATTTCTCGAACCTTAGCTGAGCCCTTCCTTGTTTCCTCCATCTTCTGACTGTGAGGCAGTATGCTTCAAGTACCTTAGCTGGTTTGTTGACGTATTCTGCGACAGTGTAAGTATCTACGACAAGTACAGCAAGCTGTCTCACGGCGGCTATCCGTGTTCATCCTCGGCCTCCTGGTCAGATGTTGTAGTAAATGGACGAATGCAATCAGTTTCAAGGCACAATCGGACAAACCATGCAGAGACATTCAGCTCAAGGCGGGTAAAACCATATTTGCTTTTCCAGGGACTTGCGTGCCTAGTTGTAAGCCAATAACCATAAAGTCCAACTTTACATACGGTGGGCTGAAGTCTGATCGACGCTTGTACTTTCACCAAGCTAGGTTAATAGATGAATTTGATTAGTAAATCTTTCGCAACTACTTCCACAAAGACACACGTGAAAGTTCTTAACACCCAAGGTAACCGTCAATGCCTCCTTACCCAATTGTGCTTTGTCTTCTGATTGGGTCCTAAGTTCGTAACGGGTCTCTAAGTCTGAGCATGCACCTCTTGGGACTGCACGGTGCCAAGCAGTGATCCGGTGGTGTCACATCGGCCATGGATGGTCTTCGTTGGGTGAAAATATATTACCCACTTAGCCTTGTTCATGGCTGCCTTGGTGGCATAGAAAGAAGTTTACACTTTAGCTGAGCACGGTTACTTGGCGTGTTAGGTTAGTAAAGCGTACAATGGTACAAGGATTGTGGCTACGCTTTAGGTAGGATGTGTGAAAATATGTGCTCCTCTCATTAGGTTAAAAGATTACAAGAGCTTGGTAAGATGAGGTAGTATTGAGGTAGAGGGCTTGCAAGGTAATTAATAAATTCAGTGTACAAGCAGTTTTCTATGGTTTGATGGCCATGACGCACCGGTGATTGCTTGTTGTGTACCACAGTCTGATTAAAGAAATAATTAAACTAATTTTAAAGCCACGCAATACAAGGCACGCCTGTAAAGGCACGAGAATTATGATAAAAGTTGTTTGGTTAGTAACGGTATAAAAATAGAGCAAGTTAACCGGTAACATACTGGATTTGTGGTTATGTAGAAATGTAAGTATACGTGTAAGTTGACATAACCTGTGAACTTGTAAGGTGGGACGGAATTCGTGATCTTTTTTGCTGTGTTTGCCATCATTTAGTGGAATTAAAGGTAGCCGTAGTACCGGATAAGGTAC